ACTACCAGCGCTAGATCCGTAATTACCAACGTTCACCGAGCTCGTAATCCAAAATAGTTCCGATTCTTGAAGGCAGGGATGTATCTCCATTGTCATTTACTCCCTAAAGCTTCTGCCAGGTCTGGCTAGTTGTGCATTCTCTCATTGGTCCATCTCCCCAGCTGAACCGGCCAATATCTGTTTCGCAATCATTGTATCATGGCTGATCACCGACTTACCCTCTATTAGGGATACCCCCGATCAGGAATATCTATGGATCATGGGTACACCTCGATCCTGACGATCTTAAATATCGGATCCAGATTGCTATCCTCCACTCACTCCTGCGGATCCCGGATCTCATGATATTCAGAGCTTGGATCCTAGTCGGTGTCATCACCCACCACCCGTCCAAACCGTTACAACTTCCGGATCCAGCTCGTCGTGTTCGGATCTATAACGTCACTAATCCAGAACAGTATCCGGCAGTCACCCCCCCCGTCTTCTTATTTCTTGACAAGCACTTCACCACAGTCGCCTCCAGCGCCCGGTTGTCGCCGCCCATCGGTGACACAGCGCGCACCCAACAGCGTTCTCACTTTCCTATTTAGAGTCTCCAAGCACACTCATCATCGCACTATCGAAACGCTCCGGCCGGAGAGACGGGAAATCACCCGTAGCCGTGTCTTCCTCCAAGCCGCCCTCATCTCCGCCGGCCTCGGTGGAGGATCTCCGTTCCTTCGTCCTGGCGCTCTCCAATCAGGCTAAGCTGTGATATCCGAGCGGCATCTCACTCCCAAGAACGGGATGCTGATTCAACACTCGTCGCCTACAGGGATATCCACCAACGGTACCCACATCCGCGATCTCCGGCAGTACACCTACGACCAAGCGATGGAGATCCAGGGCTGGGAACATCGGAGCGATTCCAGAGATAGGGGTCTGCGCCACTAATTAGAGCTGCGAAATCTGGAGTAGCGTCTACAACGGACGTTAGATCGGCGGGATCAGCTACAAGACTCCTACGACCATCTCTTCCGCGAGGTCCAAGCGGCTGGATTCAAGATCGAGGAGCTCCAGTCGCATGTTCGTGATCTAGAGCGCGAACTGAAGGATGCATCACCGGCTACCCAGTTTCGTGGAAATTGATCCCGTCATTCTGCAGATCAAGATCAACATTTGGCGGGTAAGTCCCACAATGTTAAAATGACCGGATCCGGCGGATCGACCACCCCCGCATCGTGATAGGTACTTACCACAGCCCCGAAACGCCGGCTTCAGTCTCCGATTTCGCTTAACCACTTCCTCCTTCATGCAGATCACCACCATTGTAGTCATTTATGATAGCGCTTGTGGACATATCTTGCCATCTTGTCGTTTAATCTTCGTAATCCATGCGCTTTCCTCCAATTGCCTTAAACATCTTCCGACCTGAGATCTTCGCCCACTTAAATCGTTCGATCCGATATCTCCAGCACATTTCGATCTGGAATCTAGACCTGGTGCTGTCCACTACTCCGATATCTGGGCACTTGTCCCGGATCCGCGTCCTCCTCCTCAGATCTCGCATCTTCACTTGTCATTTTCGTGCACGTCGCATATGTACATATGTATAAACACCAACGCCCATCCCCCGACATACCACCTCCGTGTAGATCCTTCCACGCATCTACCCAACGCGTCCTGCCCATGTCGGTAGGTCCCTTCTGGTTACTCCTCGTGAGACTGCATCACAGCGAACCGGTTTCGACTGATGCAGTCCTGCAAAATCTCGTACAACAGAACTCCACAGTTTAGATCTGCTTCGTCTAACCAGCTGAGCTCGTCATATTCACGCCAATGTACCAAAAGCTCACGGTAGATCCGACCGTATCTCGTACGTTTGACCGATCGCATATCCGGGAACCTTTCCACCATGAACTCGTCGGATCCGAGATCTGGAGCATGGACCATTCCGAGTATCGGACACGATCGACGAGCACGCGATGAGACTCGAGATCGCTGGATCCGATTACCACTTGTTCCCGATCGTGCATGCCTCTAAGTTGAAACTGGTACAGAAGTACCCAGTTCGGCCTAATACCCGATTACGGTGGATGAACGATATCGGACTGATTTTGACGAGATATTGCTACCAGAGGACAGTTGGACCCAGATGTGTGCCCATCTCCGCGCGTACCTTTCGTTCCCCGATCTAGGTACAGCCATGCTCAAGATCCCGTTGAGATCCGGTGAGGACGAGCCTCCTCATTATACCGCTCTGTGCGATCTGCAACCGCCTCCCGCAACCGCTGATTCACTTGCGATCGGGCCTGTTGATAGTACCTCTGGATACGGTACCGCCATCGTCTTGGATCCCGATCTCGTCTCCCGGTGCGGCCCAGTAGTGAGTGCTAGATGAAGGAAATTAAAAACCCATTCGCAAAGTCCCTACAAAAGCGGTGTTAGCGTGCCCGATTTGATGCACATAGGACAGGTTTAAGTGGCAAAACGTAAATATGCAATCGTTAACACAGCTCGCTTTGCTGCTTGCATTCAATCGGTGCGTTTAGTGCTCGACAGAAATGTTTACTTTACGTTCAATCGCGAAGGCGAGAGACGGTTCGATCGTGCGACAGATTCAGTCAGTGTCGCACTGGAATAGTAGCCCCCAAGGTTGATCTGGGATCCCAACCATGCACCAAATAGAGGGGCGTTTCACCTTGGATCCGATCCTGGGACGTGTTAATGGCAAACGTGAGACGCTTTGCGTATTCGTGCCAATCCTTTTGATCCAGACCGTGGACATACATATTCAGCGCTCTCGTGATCGTCTGAACCATTCTCTCAGAAGATCTGTTGGCCTGTGGACGGTACCCCATTGATGCTCGCTGTCTTTGTACCAGGATCTTGTTAATGAGCGAACGAAATCGAACATAAACCCTGGCTCACGATCATGCCGAAGTATTTCACTGTTTCCAATTCGGCGGAAAACGCACTCCTCATAGGACTCTGCGATGGTTTGAGCGGTTCTGGACGCACTAGCCTTCGCGATCACATATCCGGTGAAGGGATTTACCCAGATCAGAAGCTCGGTATTTCCGTTGTAAGATTTGGGTAGTGAGGGGATGTGATCCATAGCGATGATCTGAAAAGGGTACGTCGCTGTATATTCCCAGGCGATTCGCCCTAGATCGGGGGACGACCCTTGTCTATCTCACAATCCACGCACTCACCGACGTACTTTTGTACGCTCTTGTACAAACATCTCCAGTGGAAACGTTCCCGGATCCGCTGATATGTGCGACCTATTCCTTAATGCCCACCTGCAAGACTGGCGTGGTAGTGATGTAGAATATCTTGATGAATATCCTCCGGCATCACCCATCGCACCAATCCATCGCGATCTTTGCCTGTCCGCCTCGTAAGAGGGCAGTAGTAGAGCAGACCATTCAGGCCAAGATCTGATCGACCTCCGGCATCTGGCTTGACCATCGCCGCAAAGTCCACCTCTCGTAGTTCATACCGTACAGCCGCAAAGATATAATTGTCCCCAACGAAACGACTATAGTAGGTTAAACTACCCAGGAACAATTACATCGCTCGAAGTGATTCCGGAAAAGCGAGATCGGTTAACATGACCAGCTCCTTCGGATTTGCCACGAGCCCATCTTTAGCCACCCGATGTCCCAAACAAACCACCTTGCGCATACCCCAGTAGCTCTTCACCACGCTGATCGATCGATTCCACTTGGTCCACGCCTCCAGTAAGTCCTTGACCCATTCACATAATTAATCCCATGATCCGCTGGAATAAGGATATCGTCGATGTAGGATCTACGCCCTAGCACAGTGTACCCAGATCCTCGGGTTGTCCCTCCTCATTAAGATCAGTACCACCGGTATTTACTTCCGATCTTGGGATCCGGGCGAGCCCATACAGCGCATTGTCGATGAGACGTTAATAGATCTGCGGAGCATTCTTCAGACCGAAAGGCATCCGGTTCTATTCGAAAGACGAAAGGGGGTGATGAACGCCGGGATCGCACGAGCTCGTCATTGTTACCACCCAAACTCCAATGGCCATATCCAACGAATAATACCAAAGTACCTTGTCAAGATCTTCCAACAGCTCATTGATCAGAGGCATAAGGTAGATCATCAGTCTGTTCAGACCATTCACTAGTCTATAATCAATACATAGTCGAATGCCTAACCCGTTCTCCTTAACGATGATCACGACGGGAGATGCCCACGGTGACGTCGAGAAGCGAATGCTCCTGGCTTGCAGCAATCCTTTTAACAGATCTGACAACTTCTTTCGAAATTGGGGTGTCACTTTCCGTCCGTTCTGTGCGATCGGCTTGGCATCACCCACATCGATGTCACATCTGACCCCGCGTGCTACAGGGGGTAAAGCATTGCCCTTGCCAATCAGCAGATGCCGACTCTTTCAGATCTCCTGACGCAGCTTTTTGACTTCCGCCGGTGTATTTGCGTCTGGATCGACAACTGGATATCCTCGATCTTCACTTCTTACGTCGTCAGCGACACTTCTGGAATTTTGACCTAGTCCTCACCGACATCTTACGCGAATAGCTCTCCGCCTTCGTGGTAACAGATATATTCTTCTTCCGTCACCTCGATCTCCTTTGTCCGATTTTGATCACGATCCACGTCCGCGGATCTGGTATCAGCTACAGCCTCCGGATTCGGATCTCGACTCTGTGCGATCTCAGATCTTTCTACTCGCAAACTTGGTGGAACTTCGGATTCAGGCTGTCTGGCTCGGCCGTCGTTTTTAAGCACTCTAAACGAAAGCGGGGCGTCTCCTCTATCTTTTGAGCCCTTATAAGCTGCAGAATGCTTATAACTGAAGAAGTTGTGGTCGCTCAAAAATACTATCTTCATTTATGGGCCCTCGAAATGACGATACATTTAGGAGTGTTGTGAGCTCAATATTTTTTCAACTTTAAAGATTTAAGTGTTATTTAAAAGCTCTTGTTAAAAGCAATTGAATAAGGGTAGTTTTACAGTTTTTTCGATGGAAGTTTACAATAAGTGTCATTGTTTCGGTTAAGTGCGAAAATCAATTGGCCAACTTTAAGCTCGATTATCTCGATAACTCTAAATGGTTCGTAAGTATCATTTTGTTTGACGTTGTCCCATATGTGTATGCGTGTTCTGAGCTCGGGTGACAAAGATTAATGTGCAAAACGAGGCGGAACGTAGCTCCTCTAGTGAAGCTCGATCTTTTAGAATAGACACGGTAAAAACGTTCACTTCTATATATTCAGTCGGCAAAACATACACGTTCGATCGCTATCAAAAAGCTTGACTGAGCTGAGTAAGAGCGTCCTCGCTCGCATCTGCTTCAGGTGTAGCAACTTGATGATCTTGACGACCACGGTTACGAACGTGGTCGTCGGTACCCCAAAGAGCCTGGCATTACTCTCCCAAGTTCCGCCTTCCTTTAGCGTGACCAGTGTCTTCAGCAATACATTCTTAGGTCTAACGTCGGACCGCTTCAGAGCTCGTTCACCCCCCCCCTAGCGAAAAAAGGTCTTGTCAGAGATGGCAGTTGGACCCCCATGCTCCCGAAAAGGGCCCAGGAACGGTGTATTTGAGACGTCTGCGTTCAGCTTGTAGGGACGTGGAGTCGAGGACTGACCGACGTCTTATTAATAATCGCGCTCGATCCAGCGCTCCAGAAGCTGAGACAAGACAGACTCGACATGGTCGCGATCCGCTTGGCGGGTGTTCGGAGTAGGTTGACGATGCATTCCTGGATATAAGTTGGTCTTGTATGTGATGAAATAACTCCGCGAATTGATGAATGGACGGTTCTCCCTCAGGGAAAGCAACATATTCGTGAGAGATTTACTAGAACACATGGAAATATATCTTCCGAATTACAGCAAGTTCGAGTATTTTCCGTATATCTGGGCAAAGTTTTATCTGACTTGGTCACTCAACACGTAAGGCGGGTTATGCTATTCTTGAAATAATTTGGTGACAAAAGTCGAAGTTTTCTACTGTTACTGTCCGCTACTTTTCATGGTAATTTCGCCATTTACACCAATTGATAAAGGTTTAATTGAAATGTGCGGTGAGCAAAGCTCACGATCGATACATGTATTTTGATATCTGTGCTCATTCACCAATTGACCTGCACAAGTCGATTTAGAAGTTGGCGAAGTGCTTTACAAGGGAGAAAAACCGATGTGCAAGTCATATGATTGGATAATACATGTAATATCTAATAAAAATTCCGGGCTGATCAAAATAATACAGGGTTTTTGTATATTATCAAAAACGGGCCTCAACTTGTTTTATTCCCTTGTCACCATTTCCTATTGAACTACGAGAAGCACAGCACCATGAAGACGATGGAGAGCGACATGGCGGCGCTGGAGCTGGACATCGAAGCTGCGTTCGAGCCCAGGGAGGAGATCAGTGGAGGCGCTTCGTCGTCTTCGGAGGAAGCCTCATCGTCGTCAGATCAGATACCGCTGGTACCACCGCCCCTCAGCACCATTGACGACGACGACGATATCACGAGTCAGCTGTTGAGCATGCTGGCCGAGGAGATGTCTCAAAAGAAGCGCAAACGCAATCTCAAGACTGCCGGCCCCAGCACCACGGGCATCCGACATCGCAAAGCGCTGGCATTGGCCTCTCCCGCCGATGAGCTGATACGCGAGAAGAACCGCGACTCAGTCAAGCGCTCATACTACCGCAAGATTGTACGACACCGAAGCTGCTGGTTTGCAACCGCTGAAGTATACGGTGCCCTAATGTCTGCCTACTAACGCTATTATTTGTAGGAGACGCTGGGAGAGCTGAGGGCACACACGGAGTACTTGCGCGACCAGTACAACCGACTGTTGGCCCAGTGGGAGGACAAGACAGAGAGAGAGAAAGCGGAAACGGCGAAGGATCCGTCCAGCCTCATGAAAAGATACTTGGAACTCTCGAGGCTACGCGACCGACTCTGGCTGGAGAACACACAGCTTCACGAACAATTCGAAGACCGCGAGAAGATCTCGTTCCGCTTTCAGAGACTCTTTGACGTTAACTATCAGCTCATGGACCACTCAGTCGCCGCGCCAATCGAGGACGATAAGAAGGACCACCGTGTACAGACACCCATGCTAATAATGGACGAAATGTCTGTTGAGAGCTTTAACAAATTCGCGCAGGATGCGCAGCGCACATTTGAGGCATTCGTTGCCAGTCGCCACCACATGATCACGACAGACACAGCGCTCGGCTGGACGTGCTCGCACGTAGCCAAAGACAATTCATTTGGCTACTACTTTGAGAAAAGTTTCGGCCACAGTTCATACACTAGCGCCTCGGAAGTAGCACGCTCGGCATGGCAGACGCTCACGTCGCCTGAACGCCACTCGAAGCTGTACGCGCCGGCGTTGCACACGCGCTTTCATATCATGCAGCAGTTTGACAACAACAGCTACGTGCTGTACCGCACAATGGAGAAGGAAGGTGAAGACTCGATCACTACAGCGCTCATCATCATGACGCGCATTCCTCACCCGAATGACTCTGGTTGCCTCATTATCTGCAAAGGCTTGCGTCGGGAGGAGCACACACTCCACGTCGAGTTCAGGGATGCAATCGCGCTGCAGAAGAAGAAGGAGTGGCGGCAGTCCATGTACTGGATTAACGTCGAGGAGGTGCCTTTGGACGACTATAACAACAGCGAGGAGGTATGCGTGGAGAATCAGGAGAAGAAACTTAAGGTCGTGCACGGTGGCATTATGAATAACATGGGTGACCGTAGCCGCTCCTTCTGGTTGTTCGAGAACCTCCAGATCGCCCTACGCTGGGAACAGAACCTTGGGCTGGGCGAGCCGCTCAGCTAGAGCGGCTCGGCGAAGGCAGACCTTTGTTCTACTCATCATCGATTGCGCTTTTCCAAAAATGAATGACTGGCAGGGCGCCACACCAAACACCGTGCGCCGCACATTGTACGTTACAATTTGTAACACCAGTCTCCCGGAGACTCTCCGCGAAATTAAGGGTCGATGAGACTTGCATTCAGGCTCCTCCCCGCCGCCAATGTAACGATGCTTATCATGGCGTGTCGTTATCCGCTGTGGAACCAGGATTGATTTTCAAGTGAACATTTCACTACCGGTATCAAACTGCAATATACCCATTTTGAATCAATGCGTTTTCTACAGTCCTGAAAGCACACCCTTAAAATTTCCGCATATCTCGTCCAATTATGCGATTTTGCAAATCACATAAAGCGTTTCATGTTGAATCAGCCAACCAAATTTGAGCGTAGACTTTTTAAGCAAGAAAGAGACTACAAAAGTCCCCCTCATTTAAGCGTAAGAAAGAAAATCACTGCGAGATTCTGATTTGTCAAATGAACCTTTAATCTTTGTGATCCGATATAATAGGGTATACAAATATCGCTCTCACTTCCGGTATCGTGGTCCGACCATATCCTTGGATTTAATATATTATTTTAAAGTGAAAAGTTACAAGCTCGTCTGTGAGGCTAGGATAATGACAGCTTCTACGTCTACATCGGGTCCGTAGCTGGATCGCTCGGTTGATTTACTTCTCTCATTTACGGCATTAAAAGTAATGCCTGTGTGGCGAAAACTGTGACGGGGTCACACAGCACCTTGCGCTAGAGGAAGTTATCTTCCGAGAGTATACAAACTCTCAGTGAACGGCAGTTCACAGGCCCCCTCTTTATTCAAAAGAGAGCGAAGTGACCTAATTAAGGTAGAATGTAAACTGAGTATATTTATAGGTAGATTAAAGCTTGGGTTTAATACAAACTATAAGTCGCCTATAGGAATGCAATGTCGTTAACCAATGGTTGGCTTTGAACGACCTTGGTACTTTGTACCAAATATCCCGAAGTATGGCGTGTCATACTTTTGAAGTGTGACGTGTCACACTTTATATAACCAGGGTACACTTAGGGCTACGTAACCCGTTACATCCTCCCCCACTTAGGTTCGGGTTACCGACCAATCAGAATGAAGAGGTGTTCGTCACAAACTCTCATTCTCAAAGTCGAAAACCATCAACTTAGCCGCGCGAGCGCGGCGGAGGCTCACTTCACAGTTAGAGCCTCGAGCAGTAGTCTGTGCGCTCTTCTTCTAGGTCTCCACTACGACCGTTAACCATGCCTCGTGGCACTGCGAAGAGCGGTGCGAAGACACGCTCAAAGGCGGGTGCCGGAAAGGCACAAGCCAAGAGCACTAAGCCTCATGGCAAAGGCTCGGCACTTAAGGAGGTTACTTAGGTGGCCTCCGAGGCGATCGGTTCCTCGGGTGACGCGGGTGTGGGCAAGCGAACAAGCAAGCGCCGCAGCCCATCGCCCTCGGCCTCAGACAATCGTCCGAACCCTCGGTTCGTGGAACATAAGTTCGACTCGGGCAGTGAGGACGAAGCCGAGTCCGAGAGCACGCACGATGCTCCTGCGGGCTCTGTGGGAGGGTACAGCCCAGTGCCCAGTGAGCACAAGGATGACAGCGTGCTGTCGCTCGCTAGTGATCACGGTGATCACAGTCCCAGGACCTCTGTGCGCTCTGAGCGTCCGGCCGTCAAGGCCAAGGGCACTCCCAAAGCTGGTGGCGATGAGGAAGAGAATCCTCGCAAACGTCTCTCGCTTGCCGAGGGCCTTGCGCGTGCTAAGGCCTCTAAAGCCGAAGGCGCCAAGCCCTCAAAGAAGTGTACCGCCTCTAAGTCTCCACTCCGCGAGGAGAAGGAGACTCGACGCTCGTATCAGAGTCTCTTCGGCTCCTCGGATGAAGAGGAGGAGAAGGAGGAAGAAGAGGAAGAGGAGGGTGCCATTGTTGAGCCCCGGGAGGTCTCGAATGACCTCGACCAGCAGGAGGATTTCCAAGCTGCCCAGCGTGTGCGTGAGGGTTCGGTGGTGGCACCCGTCAGCCAGGGAGCTGCCATCAACTCAAGAGGGTATTGGCCTCCCGAGGAGAGCTCTGGGGCTGACCTCTTCTTAGAGCTTCTCGTCGCTCCTCGTGGCCTTGTGGGCGGCCACACTTCTAGGGGCATTTACGAACGTGCCCTTGTTCAGAAGGAACAGTTGTTCGTTGACAACTTGGAGGGTGCTCGGTGTGTGCTTCTCGCGCCACACCGCATCCCCCTTAAGGACTTCACGACTTGTCGTAGGAAGCCCGAGACCCGGGGTGGTCTCTATCGTTTTTGGGGATACCCCTGGGTTATGCCCGAGAACTGTCCCACGTGGAGTTCTTGTGAGGCCATGCTCTGGGCATGGGTGGAGTCTCTTAAGTACCCACCCACGGAGTTACGGGAACTCCATGAAGATCAGCTGCTGTCCCGCATCCTGGACCAGCGTGATCTTCGTGTGAGGTTTGCCCACTTGGGCAGCAAGCGCATGCTGCCAAGGGACATCCTGAAGCGCGCGGCTTCCAGCGCTCACGATGAGCGCGGGTACGGAATGTACTCGTCCTCCGTACCCCGTTCGGGCAAGAGGCCCCGGACTACTTATGAAGCTACAGCCGCTTCTGTTCCAAGATTGCGACAGCCTTCGGGCAGTCAATCAGGAGCCGTTCAATCGGCTCCCACGAGTTCTCGGAGTGGGCATAACCCCTCTACTTCACGAGTAGCTATCGCTTACCGCGACGCCGTTGCTCCTGGAGGATCCGCTCCACGTGGAAGTGGACTTCTCCATTCCGGTCAAGCAGGGGCAGAGGTGCCCTCGTACGAGTACGAGTACTCGGCGCCTCCCGAACACCACTCTCGTCCGAGTGTTCCGGCTGCGGGTCCGACACGGGGCCCTGAGGTGGACCGCCTCCGTCAATGTGTCCTCGTGCGTGAGATTGCACTTGGCCTTGGGACTGGCGGTGATGCTGCCGCCCAGGCCGGGAATCAGGGCGAGCTCGCTCGTCTTACGGGTCACCTGGACCTGTTGGAGCGAGAGGTCGCGAGCCTGCATCTGCGGGTGGATCGCCGGACCTCTTCGTCCGATCTGGACGAGGCCTTTCGCATGATTCGACGGACCGAGGCTCTGTTGCCACGTCCGGAGCCGCCTTCGGCACACTCCCAGACGTACGCGTATGGTGCGTACCCGGCGTATTCAGCGTACCCGGCGTATGGCTCCGGGGTCCGTTCGTACGGGGCCCCTCCGGCGTACGGTCTTGACCGCAGCCTTGCCGTTCCGACCGAGGCTTGGGTGCCTGCTCCGACGCTGTCGTCGACGGCTGTGACTGGCCCTCGCTTCGAGGAGCTGGGTCAAGGTGGGTCTGCGAGTCAGAACCCCCCCCGCGGATCAAAGTACTGCTTAAGACGTCCAGCATAGAACGTCGGGTGCGTCGTCATCGACTTTGGCAGGTCGATGGTGTACGACGCACCATGTCTGGCCAGGACTGCAAATGGTCCGATGAAGCGGCGCTTCTGCTTGTTGCTGCCGACAGAGCTGACCGTGTCAAGAGGTAGGTTCCTCGTGTCTAGTAACACTAAGTCCCCCACCTTAAATATACTTAAGTTTACTTTTCCATGTTTGTCGGAGTACTCCTTTTGTTTATCTTGGGCCGCTGCCATGGCATCGCGGACCCTGCTGACAGCGCTCAGCTTGGTATTCATAAAGGATTCCACTTGTTTCCGCAGCGAAACTGGTCTCACATCCGAGACCTGGGAGAAAAGGGCTTTCCGAGCCTCTCCCCCACTTAGAATAGAGGAGTCCGTGTCTCCTCGAAGAGTGAGAGGCACTCTGAAGTGACGGAAGCCGTTCAAGTAGAACGGCGTGAGCCCCGTGGACGCGTGCACCGCGTTGCTGAGCGCAAACTCAACAACTGGAAGCTGCGTCGACCACGTACGTGGTGCTGCCGCGCACACAGTGCGCAGAGTGTCCTCGAGCACTCGTTTGACGCGCTCTGCCTGGCCGTCTGTCTGCAGATGGTCCGCAGTGGACATCTGCAGACGAGTTCACAGTAAAGGAAACAGCGTTTTCCAAAACGCAGCAGTGAACCGCGGGTCTCGGTCCGAGACAATCGTCTCCGGGAGACCGTGATAGCGGAACACGCCATCGACGAACTACCTTGCGGTTTGTTCGCCCGTAACAGTGACGGGAACCGGAGCAAGATGTACCATCTTCCTCAGCCGACACACGAACACCAAATTCCGGTGTTGCCGTGTCCGTCGGCGGGAAGCCCAAAGATGAAGTCAAGACTCATCGACTTTCAACAGTCAGTCGGTACGGGCAGGCTCGGTAGTGGAGCCGAAGCGTGCCATGCGGGTTTGACCCGCTGACATGTTTCACATGTCTTAACGTACCGGGCGACCCATGGGTCCACCAGAAGGCCTGAGAGACCGACAGAAAGGTCTTCTCGCGGCCCAAGTGGCCGCTGGAGGGCGCGTCATGCGCCTCCGCGAGGATATCGAACTTCAGATCCTTGTCGTTGGGTACGACCACCCGTGGGGGTCCATTGGGCTCCACCCGGTAATAGAGGAGGCCATCCTTCAACTCATATCGGTGGAGCCGTGAGCGCTGTAGCGACGAGAGCCAGTCGGACTTCGCGCTCGTTCCTGCCATAAGGAACTTGACGATAGGCGCGACAGCCTCATCGTCCCGATACGCCATGCGTATCCGATCATATAGATCCGTTGTCATCCGTGTGATGTGGGCCAACTCATAGTCAGGACGCCGAGAGAGGGCGTCCGCAAGCACGTTGAGCTTGCCCGGCTTGTATTCGACGCGGAAGTCGTACTCCGCGAATAAACAGTCACCTCGCCATCCTTTGGGAGAGGTGAGGCGAGTTAGTCGCCGTCCTCAAGGATGCGTGATCTGTGTAGATCACGAAGGGCCAAGAGCCCAGAAGGTGAACACGAAACTTCACAAGGGCATATTTCATTGCCAGGGGTTCCTTGTCGTGGACAGGGTAGTTCCGCTCGGCGGCTTTGAGCTGCCTGGACTGGAACGCGATGACTCGTTCCTGTCCAGCCGTGTCGTCCTGCAGCAATGCACATCCGATGGCGTAATCGGAGGCATCGCAGACGACGCTAAACGGCTTCGTCTCGTCCGGCAGAGCCAGGACAGGGGCCTCTTGGAGACTGGCCTTGATGCTGTCAAAAGCATCCTGGTGCTCTTGTTCCCAGCGCCAGTCGACGTCCTTCTGAAGGAGGCTCGACAAGGGCTTAGCGAAGCCCGCG